AAGAGTGAACATGTGGCCTGACTGAAGAGATGAAAGAGACATAAGATTAAAACAAACCTTATTTAAGTGTTTGGATGATGATCCGGGAGAACTGTTGTTCGGATTGTCTTTGTCAGGCATTCCTTGTGAACAAATACAAAACAATCAAATTTGTGATAAATACAAAAGATAAATATTGAGCAGCATCATTTAGTCAAGGCAAGAGTAAAATGTATCGAAGATACAGATTCAACAGAAGTGATAGTTAAGTAAGAAGATTAAATATAGTGTGTAAAGTCTTCATGGGGCTGCAGGATGTGTGTAATCTTCAGTGATGGATCCTGAGGGGCTGCGGGGAGCATTGCACACACTACAAAAGCTTTCTCCTTCAGGAACAATAACTCCAGCACATCACTATTTATATACATTGAGAACATCCGACACTTACTGAACTACACACATCAGCATAGAAATCTCAGACAAAAAGAACAATTTTAAAAGTTTAAAACATGCTAGTTCACTTAAAATGATTTTATACAGCACCTTATCAGTAAAAAATAAAAATAAAAGCCTCTTCTTATCAAGAGCGGATCGCAATGTGCCAAGCTTGATTATGCAGAAGCACAAACGAAGAATAAGAGTTCCAGCAGAAGGGAATGAAAGACATACAGTACACTACTGGTCAAAACTTCAGGGTCAGTAAGTTTTTATTTTTAATAAATTGAGTTTTATTAAGCAAAACATGCATTAAATTGATTAATGTGACTGTAAAGACACATATAATGTTGCAAAATATTTCTATTTCAAATAAATGCTGTTCTTTTGAACTGTCCATTCATCAAAGAATCCTGAAAAAAATCTTAAGCAGCACAACTGTTTTCAACATTGATAGTGATCAGAAATGTTTCTTGAGCAGCAGATCAGCATATTAGAATGATTTCTGAAGGATCATGTGACACTGAAGACTGGAGCAATGATGCTGAAAATTCACCTTTGATCACAGAAATAAATTACATTTTAACAGATAATACAACAGACAAGAGTTATTTTATATTTTAATAATATTTAACAATTTTTACTGTATTTTTTTTATCAAATAAACACCACCTTGGTGAGCAGAAGAGACTTCTTTCAAAAACAGCAAAAAATAAATAAAATAAATTCAGATGTGAATTATATATGTAGATAAATGCATGTATAAATATTAATAAATATAATTTTGCTTTATTATAGTTCTTGCAGCCATAACAGAATATAATAGTAATAATAAATGGTATACATAAAAATCTTTCCAATTTTATAATGTATTATATGAAAATAATATTAAATTATTTTATAATAAAGGAAAAAAAGCACAAAACATGCCTTGATGATTTTTACTGTTATTTATTATTATTATTATTGATTACCGTGATATATCGCATTACCGAATACCGGCACAAGTCTACCGTATACCATACTGTATAAAAGTATCACTAACAAAAAAAGGACCAAAAAGTGTTTTTGAAAGTACCATGTTTCTTTGGACATTAACCACGGTAGTACCATGGTATTCGGACTCATTAGGTTTCATTGACACATAACTGGCATCATGAACAGAAAGAAAGATGTATTCCTGTCCTGTTTACTTGTTAATTGATCCTGTGGATGTCATTGAGGGGGTTTAACAGCCTGAGGATCTGGCAACCGGTCTTGTTATTGCACAAACATGCACTGGCGACCTGATAGATGCTGTTAAGGGTCCATCTGATTTGCATGGAGCCCCACGCTGGGACGTCCTGACAGGCGATTCGTTAAGTGAATGGTGTTTCCGGCGCTCCGTCTCTGTCAAAGACGTGAGTTGAGAGTGTGCTGAAGAGGGTTCGCTGAGATGAGTCCTCTGGCTGTGATCTCTGAAGGCCTGCTGGGTTGCCATCTGCTCGATCCGTTCATCCTCAGCGTCTGAAGGACAGAAACCACGAACCAGATCTCTGATATCTCAGAGCTTTCTCATGAGCACCAATAAGGTGCCGTGGCTCACATTTGTCATCTAGAGTTTCAAACTGGGCTCAGGTTTGCAGTCAAAAGTCTCCGTATGAACTTTAACATTTTCATCAGATCCTCAAACCGGTTTTCATATTTTTTGATGCCATGGATCGTCAAGTATGTGAATTATTGCAAAATCATATATCAAAATCAAATCGAAGGACCATATTTTTACTGGTAATACTGATGTATTATTATATAGACTACAATATCAAGTTTGGTCAATTTTAACATCTATACATATATAATTTGTAATGTATTTATTTATTCATTATTATTATTATTACAATTATAAACAATTATTATTAGTGTTTATTTTTACTATCATTAATCATATATTTCAAAATAACATTATTAAAATAATGAATAAATAGAATCAAAACTATAATATAATTTAAATAAATATTTAAATATAAAATTTGTATAATGTAATTTCCTGTTTATTAGTTGTATTTATTATTATTAGTAGCATTTTATTTATTTTTATTTTTATAAATTTATTTAAAAAATTACAATTATTAGTATTTCTCGTATAGTATAGAAGTATCTTTATTCATTCAATTATGATAATGATGATGACGATGATAATAATAATAATAATAATAATAAATTAATGAATAAATAAAATGTCGAAAATAAAAATATAGTTTTGAATATAAATGATCATTTTACTGGTTCATTCATATATTCCTTAATTGAACAATAATAATAATAATAGTAACAACAACAACAATAATAGTGAATGAATGAATTAATTAATAAAATGTTGAAAATAATAATAATAATAAAATGAATGAATTAATGAATAAAATGTTAAAAATAAAAATATAATTTTAAATATAAATTATTATTTTATTGGTTTATTTATATAATATTAATTAATTTAATAATAATACTACTACTACTAATAATAATAATATTAGTGAATTAATAAAATGTTGAAAATCTATAATTAACTTTTAGATATAAACGATTTTTTTACTGGTTCATTTATAATAATAATAATAATAACTATTATTATTATTACTATATATAAATTAAAAGTATTATTAATAATATAATTTATAGCTTATTTTATTAGTAGTATAGTAGTATTTACTGTAAGTTATTAATTTATTATCATGAATTATTATTATTATTAACAGCAGCAGCGTTTTATGTTTAATTTATTATTTATCAATTTAATTTTTTGCACACTAAAATTTCCCGTTTCCCCCTGCTCTGTAAGACTCTTCTCTCCGATGTCGGCTCTTGTAAAACTCGTCTCAGGGAAGACCTGATTGATTAAGTCCCGTTGATGAAGTGGCCAGAGCGAGCGCTGGCAGCGAGCAGCACAGGACGCAGAGATACGGCCCGCGTGAAGAGAGCGCGATAGTTTGTCAGCGTCGTCTGCGGTGCCACACAGATCCTCACATCGTCCCGTCATCCATCATGACGCTTGGGCCCGTCCATTCAGCACCAGTGATTTCTGCGTCCGTCATCCATCTCTCCCTCGTCTCTGTCCGATCGCTTTAATCACGCCGCTGCTGTTCGCAAGTTTAAGATAATCCTCTGCTGACATTTCGTATCCTGTGATCCCAATATATATACAGTAGTCAACATTTGAAGTGGATCAAAAAAGTTCTTCAAGGCTTTTAGGACAACTTTGATGAAAGGTCTTGATCCACTTGAAATGTTGACTACTGTATATATATATATAAGTTTTTGCTGAGACATGATTGATTTATTTAACTTTCATATTGTTATATTTGATACTTTTTGTTTCATATTTATATTCATATTTCAAAATGAACAATTACGGCAGCGTATGCTTAATATTTTGTGATATTTTAAATACATTTTTTGAAAATATTGAAAAAAGCAGGTATTTAAGTTTTTATTTCAAAGTGTTTATTTCAGTCATCATTGCAATGCATTTCATGATGTATTATGTTTACCACAATTTTTTAAATAATTAAATTATTTAATAATAAATTAAAACAGAAGTGGGTGTGCATATACATATATGTGTATATGTGTGTGTGTGTGTGTGTGTGTGTGTGTTACCTGTGAAAAATTTAGATTTTATAGAATATTGAAAATATTGTGCAAAGTAGGTATTTTTTTTATTTAAAAGTAATTATTTCAGTCATTATTGTAATGCATTACATGACATTCAGCTCACCACAACCGCTTTTTAATTCAATCAAAATGTTATAAAATTTACGAAATTCTTGAAATTGCTTAATCAATAAATTGTATAAAAATATATAGAAATGCTTATAAGATTGTAAATACTCCAGAAAAATGCATTAATACATTTTGAATTTTGTTAAAAAATACATTTAAATGCATTTATAAAATTAAATATATTTACACTTTTAAATCAAATATATTTAGTCTTGTAGTCATTTAAATAGCATTGTTATAAGTGAAAAGTAATATATAAAACATGCCTTCATTATTTTTAACAAGATTTCTTTTACTGTTTTTACAAAAAATAAACATGCCAAATGCTTTTTTTTTCTTTTTCTTTTTTTTTTACATATTTTGTGTTAACATCCAGTGGACATTTCTGAAAAGCACATAATATCTCTTTCATTGTGAGCTTTTTGGTTTAGGACTAGTTAATGGTCATGCAACTAAACAGATTAAATGCTGAATACGTGTATGTTGTGTGTTTTACAGGGTGAAGTACAACAGACCAGAGGCCAAACGCACTGCAGCGAAGGCGTCGTTTCTGTGACTCTGCTGTCCGCCTACATCCCATCCTGGCCCTGAAATCCACACTATACCAGACATTAGCCAGCCTCGATCAATAGTACCAACCTTACAAGACGTTTCTGTGTGAGAAAACAAAAGCAAGAAGGAACAGATCATCTCTGACTCATCAACCTAATGCACACCTATTGGAGCCCACTAATCTAACTCGCTTGAACGAACGGCTTTCTCAGATTCGCATATTGATCTGATCCGATTAGGCGTGCGATGTTCATTGTCTGACGCTTTCAGCGGCAGCCAGAAATGGGATACTTGCCGTGGGGCGAACGGTAAACTGGTGCCCAACGTAGGGTCAACACCTGCAAACCGTGTCCCATCTGGAACCAATTAGCCTCATCCCTGCAGCCAAAAGAAACGAGCGTGTGACTCCAGTCCTTGCTGTTTTTATCCGTTGTGGCAGCCCGTTGTGTCATCGTCTGGTGACATTTCGTATCCTGCGATCCCAGACTAGCGACACTCGAGAGAATGAGACTCGTATTATTCACAAATGCTTATTTGCTTTCCTCCAGCAGTCAGCTAATGATTCGTTAAAACGCCCCGCTGATGGATAAAGACGACATTTACAACAGCCGCTTTTGCTGGTATTGCCGTTTTGTAATCAGCTTCACCATTACGTAGAATGTCAGGGTAATTATGGCAGTTTTGCTCGGATTAGTCGAAACATTTATTCACTCTCTCATATTTGACGTATGACTTTATAAGGCCTCCACATCATTAACATGATCAACAATCTACTGAAAACCTGATTTATGCGATCTACATGTCTTTTGCCATTTAATATCATCCTTATATATATATATATGTGGGGCGAACGGTAAACTGGTGCCCAACGTAGGGTCAACACCTGCAAACCGTGTCCCATCTGGAACCAATTAGCCTCATCCCTGCAGCCAAAAGAAACGAGCGTGTGACTCCAGTCCTTGCTGTTTTTATCCGTTGTGGCAGCCCGTTGTGTCATGTCCCATCGGCTTGCGCCGCGCCACTTGTGGGTCAGATCCGATTTGACAGGTCTGGAATAAAAAAGCCTGTCACTTTGACCCCGCTTGGTCCCGGATTGCTCCACTTGTGTCACTTTGCGTGTCCGTCACGCGGTCAAAAGTGTCGACTTTGGCCTTGTTTGTTCACATCGAGGTCGCCGCACCAATCTCTCCATCCAACCCACTCTCACGACAGCTTGCAAGTTCTGTCGTCGCCCTCCCTGGAGGATGAGCGATGTGTCCACATTGGACTATGAGCTGCTCTCGCCGGGGCTGTCATTCGCCGGGGTCCCCAGCAGCCCACCTCTTGGTGGCGACGCCGAGCAAAGGACAGCCTTTGCGTTCGTGGGTCTCCTGATGCTGTTTTTGATTTTCCTGTTGGTGCGTTGCTTCCGGATCTTGCTCGACCCCTACAGCCGAATGCCCGCTTCATCTTGGACCGATCACAAGGATGGCTTCGAGCGGGGCCAGTTTGACTACGCCCTGGTGTAGTCACGTGACCTTGAGACGCCACCTGCCTTAGCCCAACGTGTGGCCCGACTCCAACCCTGTAGCTAATTGCGCTTAAACCATCATGGGTTCGATTCCCAGGGAACGCACGTGCCATGTATACCTGGAAATGTACTTTGGGCGTAAACGTAACCGAATTAACAGGGTCGTCCATTTCTTCCGCTGTAGCTACTTCCTCAGGACGGTCTACAAGGTCTACAACGAATAAACACATGAAGTCGACGGTTCAAGGTGACCAACACAATGCTCACTGTGAACTGTTACTACCCTTCGGCTACTGTACATACTTCATCGTTACTGTAGATATATCTTAATTGTAAAAGACATGATGAAACTCTTCAATGAACCTATGTAGATGGCATATTTTAATTTAACGCAACTGAAAATGAGGCTGTGATGGATAGATGTCAGTAAGTCGATTGTTGCTGTAAATTAATGTCAGTTGTTCAGCCACCGAAACACTGGAAACATGGCTTTGCAAAAAAAATGGTAAAATATGCATTACAATTTGCGTAAAAAAAAAAAAAAAAACTAGACGATGACATGACCTAGAAACTTGAGACATATTGGACCTTAAATTTGTGTGTAAATTAACAAATGGTTTGACGAACAATTTACACAGTTGAATTCAACAAATGGATTTAACAAAAAATTTATACTGAAAAAATCACTAAACTGATGTTAAATTGTCGCTTTGTTAATTCTTGCATTGAATGCAATAAATTGTTTTATGATTAATTTATACCATACAAATCATAAAACTCACTAAAATGTCACTTTGTTGAATGTTACATTGAAGGCAACAAATGGTTTTAACAATTTAAACCATGAAACTCTGTAAACTGTCACTAAATTGTCACTTTAAGTTAATTGTTTCAGTGAATGCAGCAAATGGTGTTTCACAAAATTTACACTAAAAATCACTGAACTGTCATTAAATTGTCACTTTACGTTAATTGTTGCATTGAATGCAACAAATGGTTTTAACAAAATTTACAATGTAAAAATCACAAAACTGATGTTAAATTGTCGCTTTACATTTGTTGCATTCAATGCAACAAATGGTTTTAACAGGTTACACTGTAAAAATCAGTAAACTCACTAAATTGTCACTTTCTGTTAATTGTTGCGTTGAATTCAACAAATGGTTTACACAAAATTTACACTGTAAAAATAACTGAAATGTCATTAAATTGTTGCTTTGGATTTAACAAACTACGCAAGAAAGGGTTTCGAAAGCAATTTACACTTTGTTCTCCTTAGTCATTGCTGCCCTCATTGCCTCGTTTTCATTTGTGTAAAATTAAATAAGCCTCTTACCATGATTATGGCCTATTCAGTATGATTTTTGTCTATTTAGCATGGTAATTTTGCGCGAAATACATCTTTAAGGAAAACTTCAGTATTGTTGTAAAGTCCGAGGATGTCCGACATACCTGCTGCCTTCGACAGACCCGTTCTAAACTCTGTGCTTTATACATTTCTGAGGATGTTCTGGATTTGGAGCAAAAATCCCTTTAAGACTTCGGAACTGAGTGTCAGTCATTGTATTATTGCTGTTTGACTCTTTCCTGTCCTTTGACTATGTGTATATAAGCCATATGTTCTCATATCTCGAGGGTGTTCATGTCATTGGTTATCTGTTTGCTAATCTGCCGAGCTCTCTGAAACCGTTGTGATCTAAGAGAGGTTTAGAATCGACCGAAAGCATTATTTTTATATCCCGACTCGGATTTGGAGTTCCCTTTTTGCTAATCATCTTGAATTTGTAGCTCTCATTTGGACGGATGTGCAAAGAATGTTGATGTGCCAAGAAACAGAGGAGCTTGCATTGCTTTGTGAGTTTTGTAAGTAGATTGGATATTTTCCTAATTCCCTTTTGTCTGAAATAAAACTGGGTTTATTCACTTAAGGCTTCCACTTGGATACACTCGCTAGATCTCTTTAACGTGGCTAAAAATGGCCTTTGCACATAGAGAACAGAAAGACAAAGGTTTAAAAATATAACCCATGTTGTTTTATTGCCATTTGTTGTTTCGTACAGATGTTCACAAACATTGTGCGGATCACTCGGATCTAACAGATGGATCGAAAATGGTATAAAAACAATGCATTTGGAATTATTCATTAGCAGTGTATGGGGTACTCAGGTTTCTCCGTCATGGATCTTTATGGCTCAAAAAATTCATACAGATGCCCTAATCAATGCACCTCTGAGATTTATGGTATGGGACGACATCCTGAGCAACCCGGTCCACTTTCTTTGGTCTGAAGTTCGTAACTCAACACTAGCTTGATGACTATTTCAAGTTTGCTACTGATTTTTGACATACAGTACAGTCACGCACATTCGCTCTTTTACATGTAGTGGCATCAACAAAAACAAAAGATATGAAAGTATACAAAGTTCCCATGTTAGACAAATGGTTATGCATAAATATACCTCAGGCTGTCAAACAGTGCAGTTACTGTGATGTTCAAGAAACAGTTTTGTCATTCTAGCACCAAAATCACTTTGTTTACAGCCTTTGAAAACAGTCCAATATTGCTGGTCGTTGCAATAAACTACAGTATTATTCATTTAGATGATTGATGGACAAGCTCATGTAAACAGTGACGTCTGTCACATAGTGCTCAGTGACAGTAAAATAAGGACGCGGTGATCATTAATTGTCCGTATTCTGAGGAAAAACAAAGTCAACAGCTCTTAAAAGCTATTTATCTAATGTGTACAAGTAAATATTTGGTTTGGCAGTCTTGATGCTTGAGAATACAAAAGAAGAAGAAATACAAACAAAAACTACATTTCACTTTAAAATATACAATTAAAATTTTCAACAAGCTTTGATAGTATTGATTTTTCAGCATTGAGACAGTACAAAAGACAATCACACACGAAATAAAAAATAAAATAAAACACAAAAGACCTTTGGAAATGTCACGATTGCGATCCACAAATCAGTTCGTAGTACAGCGTAAGTTGGAATCTTAGCACCTTGTTTGCTCGCGGTTTCTGAGAAACTAAGAAACGAGGGTCAGCTTGTCATCGTTCCCACACTTGAAAGTTGAAAATGTGTGTTTGCATGTCCATATCTGGAGTGTTTTGGAGGACGGCTTGCCAAACAATCCTTATGTACCATTGAGACTGCACGTCTCCAGCTGCAATCAAAAATGGCCTCTGGTTGGTTTACCCAGCAGGCTTCCAGTTCTCCATTCGTATGTGCTCTGTTTGCCAAGCACGTCTTTGTCAAATACACTGACAAGAGCACACAAGTATGGAGAAGAAAATGGTTCAAATGTAAATGCCAAGTTTGTGCAACATCGCATGCATATTCGAAAACCCTTTAGACAGTTGTTGCCATTTTTGGAATGAATTTTCCCTGATGAAATACGCAGAGGAGGCCCAGTGCAAATTTTGAGCATTTAGCACCACTCCTGTCCTAACTGCCATACATGTATTTGTGTGTGTTCTTGTGTTTGTGTGTAAAATGAGGTAACGCGATGTGGCAGCTCATGCAAACACTCCAGAAAGTCCCAGAAATCTTGTGTAAAAAGACGCATTTCATTTTTGAGAACCATAAGCCTTTTGAACCCTCGACTCTCGTTTAAACCTGAAAAATTGCTGCAGTCCTTTGTGTGACCTTTTTTTTTTCTTCAAAAACAGTACAATACTTGACAAATGACTCTAAATACTGAATGGAATAAACTTTGACCCCAGTTTGCACTGAGATATCGAGATGAGTGAATAGTCATTATATTTTCTTCATCTATAATGCAACGTTTTTATGTGCACTAAAGACTGAATGTCATTACATGATAATTTTGACAGTTTACAACTGTAATAGCTGTACTAAAATTAAATCGTCCTTACGACTGATATTTCTGATTGTCCCTCTGGTAAAAGTGGGTGCTAGTGCTAACGCACTCCTGCTAATTTAAGGTGGTGTATGTACATATTCCACCCAACCTGGTGGAGTCGGTGGGGGCTGATTATGAAAGGACGGCAAATAAAAACAAACCCAAAACATGGCGGTAAATGGACACAGTCTCTCAGAGCCTACGCCCTGCAGTGAAGGGCACGGGGTCAAGGGTCAGTCTCGGTGCAGGTGGATGTGCAGCTTGATGCGCAGTGCGTCGCCGATCTCGCCCAGCAAGTAGTCGCTGTCATGTTGGTCCTCCATTTGCTGAAGTTTGCGCGGACCGAACAGACGCAAGCTGGCGATCTCCAGGCGGTACAAACCTGGAGAGGGTGGCTTTCGGCCCAGCCGCAGAACGCTCTTCCCGTCGCGACGCTCCAGGATGCGGAAGTGTTTGCCTTGGTTTCCATGCGTTATGACGTAGCGCACATGGTGCTCAAGCGGCTCCAGGGCTGGAAGCAACTCAAGTAGGGGTTCCTTGTTTTGCAGCTGTGCCAGACTGAGGTTCATGGGGATAGAGGTCTGAACATCCATGCTGGCCAAGCTCACCGTCTCCTGAGGGCAGGACAGAACATTTGGAAACCTTAGAAGTAGCTTCTGATAGATCTATTATACCCTTTCAGGGTTAGCAGTGTGGCCATATTGATAACAAGACAACTAAAGAGAGATGGACAGTACTCAAAAGTACCTTGAGCTCATTATCGCCAGTATTACGCCTATGGCGACCTTTCTTTCCAAGGTCACCGTTGATCTTGCATTCATAGCAGGCCTCTGGTGACAATGACTCTTCGTCATCCACTCCCTCTGAGCCAAACTGACCCTGGAAGCCCACTCCTGTGATGCAGTGCCTAGAAACGAAAAAGGTGAAACATTAATACATTCTTTGCACTTATACAGTTCAGGGAAGGGATTTCAAAATCCTGGTTTGCAAACTTCAGTTCCAACGCTGCTCCAACACACCTGTCTGTAATTATCAAGTAACCCTGAAGATCTTGTTTCAGGTGTGGTTGATTAGGGATGTAACTGAACTCTGGAGGATGGTAGCTCTCCAGGAGCAGGGTTGGAGACCCCTGTGGAGTCTAGCGCTAACTTGTTCAAATGTACCTGCCTGGAAGTTTTAGTAATCCTGAAGACTTTTATAACCTTGGTTCACAATACTTGGGCCTGAAGCTAAACTCTGCAGGACAGTGGCGCTGGAGGACCAGGTTGGACACCCCTGGTGTAGGCCTTGCCCCAAATTTTGCACTTAATGTGGACTTGCTGTCTTTGCTTGCATAGGTCTATGGAGTCCACAAGACTGTAGAGTATACCGTTTTAGGATTTAGAAGGGTTCTTACACCCTTGTTGAGCCCATGCTGGTGTGGACTCCACACGTTTGACAATCTGTGTAGGAGTGCATCACCAAAATGTGAACTCGGATAAGGGATATGAGTGAAATTTAGGACAGAGCCTTTAAGTTTCAGGCAAGTATATGGTTCTACACTACATGGCAAAAGTATGTAGGCATCCCCTTCCATTCACCAAGGAAAGACCTGAACACTTTGGAACTCTTTATAAAGTAGACTACAAACTAATCCTGTCACAAAGATCAGTAACTGGAACTCATTAGCCGCGTTTCCACTGTCGGGCCAAAAGCGGGCGTGCTAGTGCATGCCAGGGCCAGTCACGTTTCCACTGTCACTTCTGGGGCTTCCGGGGGGTTTCTTTGGCCCGCCGAAAACCTTGGGCCAAAGCGGACCAGCTCGGGCTTGAGGAGTGGTTATGAGCAAAGGCGGAGTTTCTCCGAGTCTGGAGAGTGTCAGCGCCACGGATCATTTAGTTAACAGCTATAACACCAACATTAAAGACTTTAAAAATAATTTTAGCTCAAAACTCAGTTTCCGACAGCAGCGAGTGTTTGAAATAAATTCTGTTTGAGATCCGATGTAGATTATGATCCCCATACAAGGCAGAAACATTTATAAGTGATGCGAAGGACTATGTGCGCTAGCCATTACCATAGTAAACATGGTAAATACGATTCCTTGAAGAAATCAGACAAATCACATAGGCTATCACAATCGTGTATTTATTTAGTAACATGTTTAATCTGTCAGTAAGTCTCGTGTCTATACCTGACTGTCTGATGTTCATATTTAGCTCAATGTATGTTACTCCCTCTGCTACTCAGGTCGTATTTTTGATGGAAAATTATAGAAATGATCATTCTTTATAAATGAGATGTATACTGCGACTACAAATAAACAAAAACAAGATGCGACTGAATAAATGTGTCCTCTTTCTTTTGTGAAATAATGGAAAATATAACTTTATTGCTGTGTGGCTAATTTTCAATCCTGACAAATTAATTCATTATGATTTTTGGCATTTTTTAATTGGCTTGTGCTACAAATTAGGCCGATTTATAGGCAGGCGCATCTGCAGGCAGCTAAGCGTTGTTGTGGGACACTGTACCGGAGAATCTCCAGTGACCAAATTCGTGTACACGATCTACTGATTCACGAGCTCGGGAGCTAGGGAGCTGACTGAGACACACCCATCTCTTTCTGGCTGCGTGACCAGTGTTGCCAAGTGCGCGGTTTTCCCTCGGAGTTGGGCTACTTTAACACTGTTGCCGTGGGTTGAAGCGACTCCAATAACATGATATTTATCCCCTGGAATGGGAATTTTAGCAGGGGAACCCCCATCAAAAAACGTGTATTTTACCCGCCGGAACGCAATTTTTAACTGGAGACCCCCTCGAAACGCGATTTGGCTAGTTTTGAGTAGCAATTGTTGGGTTTTCTTGTGAAAACCTGGCAACTCTGCGTGAGACGGAGCAGCTCACACTATGCTGCCGCA